TACAGTGCCACTTCCGGTTTTCTGGAGGTTTATTGGAGATAGGAGTCTCACGGTCTCTCCTGCCCGGGCTGGCTTTGAACCGCGATCCTCAGATCTCAGCCTCCTGAGTAGCTAGGATTACAGGCGTGAGCCACCAGCGCCCGGCTTAGTTCCATAGTTTTTTTAACTTTATTGTGCAGTGGATTTCTTTGGAGAAACTTATTTGAAATGTATTACCTTTGGGGTATTTACTAAAAGTGTGTTTCTGCTTCTCATTTGGACCCAGTGGATCTTTTGTTTGTTTGTTTGTTTACCAGTCCTGGGGCTTGAACTCAGGGCCTGGGCACTGTCCCTGAGCTTCTTTTGCTCAAGGTTAGCACTGTACCACTACCACTAAGCCACATTTCAATCCCCCAGTACGTCTTAATTGGGCCTAGATACTGATACCATTTTTTTTTGCAGTGCTAGAGTTTAAAGACAGGGCTTCAATTGAGCTTGCTAAGTTGACTCCACTCTAGCATGTGAGCCAGACAACTTCTAGCCCTTTATGCTCTGGTTATTTTTGAGATAGCCTGGGCTTTTTGCCTGGGCTAGCCTTCTATTTGTGTTTCCTACTGTAGCTGGAATGACAGGCATGTTACCAGGCTCAAATTTTTTTGTTGAGATAGGGTTTCCCAACCTTTTTTTTTTTTTCTGAGTTGGCTTCAAACTACAGTCTCAGCCTCCTAATTATTGGAGGATTACAGGAATGAACCACTAGGGCCAGGCAGGAATCTTCCCAGAGATTTTGATACACATGAGCTTTTTTGCAGCATTCAGAATAAACCTTTTCATCATGCCTTTCTTTTGGGTTACCATTAGGCTCCCTTTGTAGCAGGCCAGATGGACTACTGTATGGATAACACAGCTGTCTTCTTGCCAGTCCTGGTCGGTTTCAATCCAGTGAGTATGGCCAGGTGAGCCTTCTATAATGATGTGCTAGCCCCGAGAGTGTGTAGAAGACATGTCAAAGCCTACAGTACGATCACAAAGTAAATGACAAATATAGTTTTGTTTGCTGAATCTCAGAGACTATTGAAGTTCAATATGGGGGCCCTTTAAACTTCTGCTTTTTTGTTGTTGGTGGTGGTGGTTAGTTGGTTTACTTAAAAAAAATCCTTTCCTTATTTCAGAAAGTTCTGTGATTTCATTTGGAGTGATCCTCAAGCATTTTTCTATTATTTACTTATTTGCTTATTTATTTATTGTGTTAGTACTGGGTCTTGAACTCAGGACCTGAGTGCTGTCTCTTGGCTTTTTTACTCAAGGCCAGTGCTCTGCCACTTGAGCCACAGTTCCATTTCTGGCTTTCTGGTGGTTAATTAGAGATGAGTCTTATGGACTTTCCTGAGTTGGCTTCACTGATTTTAGCCTCTTGACTAGCTAGGGTTATAGGCATTAGTCTCCAATATCTTTTTGCCATTCCTGGAGCTTGAATTCAGGGCCTGGCACTGTCCCTGAGCTTCTTTTGCTCAAGGCTAGCATGCAACTACTTGAGCCACAGTACTACTTGTGGCTTTCTTCTATTTATGTGGTACTGAGGAATTGAATCCAGGGCTTCATGCATTCTAGACAAGTATTCTGCCACTCAGCCATGTTCCCAGCCCTCCAAAATCTTTTAAAAGTAGTATCAATGAGTACCCCAGTGGCCACCTACTCCTCTTTGTACTTTCATGCTCTTTTTGTCCATCATTCCAGACATGCTTTTGCTCCCTTCTGACTACTCAAATTGGCTTCTCCTTCCTTCTGAGAGCCCCAAGCCACAAGATCACTTCCCTCTTATTCTTTTTTTAAATGATCTCAGAAGGTACAGATATAAATCTATGTATGAGTTGCTTGAAGTTTGTTAACCAAATATTTTTGTTAGTTTGTTGTGGTCCTGACTATCTATTATAAAAAAAAAAATATCTGGAGATTGTGTGTGGGGGTGGGGGTGCGGGGGTGCGTCTTGGGGCTTGAACTCAGAGCCTGGGAATTGTCCTTGAGTTTTTGCATTCAAGGTTAGTGCTCTATAACTTGAGCTACAGCTCCACTCCTGGCTTTTTGGTGGTTAATTGGAGATAAGCGTCTCATAGACTTTCCTGCCTGGACTTGCCCCCTGAGTAGACTACCTGAAGACACTGAGGGTTTCCTGTCTTTAGAGGGATTTCTAAGAAGGCTTTTTGATTGTTTTAGGCAGTTTTGTGTAGGTAGCAGTGGTCTTTGAGAGGTGGGTAAGCTGGGTTTGTTCTGAACTACTCTTTCAAGTTCCAGACTCTAGACTTATAGATTGATTGATACACAGGTGTAAATCTGATCATTTTCAAGAGGCCTCTCTTTAACCAAAAATATATCTGTGCAGTGGATGCTAATTTCAGTCCCTGTGACTAAGTGAAATGAAGAATTCCAAACAATGTAGGCATGGAGATCTTCCAGTTGTTCCTTAAATCAGTGGCTCCCTAACTTGGCTCATCCTCAGGATCGTCTGAGAAGCTTTTAAAAAAACAGAGATTTTTTTTTTTTTTTCTGGCTCTGCTCCAGAACTGCTGAATCTGAATTTCAGGGTGAATGTGAGACTGGGAAATGGATGGTTATTAAGGAACAAAACCTAGGAGATTTTGATGCCCAGAGAAGTCTGGGGATCTTGGTTTTCATGTTATTTCTATTTTATCAACATTACTGAGGTTTGAATTCGGGCCTTTCACTTGTGAGGCAGCACCGCTGCTGAACCACATCATCAGCCCTTTTCTGTACTGGTTATTTTTGAGAGAGGCTTTTGCTTCCTGCCTGGGCGAGTGCCTGGTTTGAAATCTGCCTATTTTAGGTGCTTCCCATTGTAGCTAAGATAACAGGTGTACATTGCTGTATCCAGCTCTTCTTTAAGAAAGACAGAAGCCTTGAGAACATTTTTCCTGTCCCGGCTGCCCTCAGAAGCCCTCCCAATCTTAGCCAATGGTATGAACCATTGACAACTGGCTAGGATTTTTTTTTTTTGTGTGCCAATCCTGGAGCTTGACCTCAGGGCCTAGGCACTGTCCTTGAGCCTCTTTGTGCTCAAGGCTATCACTCAACAGCTTGAGCCACAGTGCCACTTCTGGCTTTTTCTGAGTAGTTTATTGGAGATAAGAGTCTCATGGACTTTCCTGCCTGGCTGGCATCAAACCAGGATCCTCAGATCTTAGCCTTCTGAGTAACTAGGATTATAGGTACGAGCCACCAATGCCCTGCCTCTGTGTGTGTGTGTGTGTGTGTGCGCTCGCGCGCACATGCGCGCGTGTGCATGCGCTTGCATGCGCATGCCCGTGGGCATGCATCCACCCACACCTACACCCACACGCACGCATGTGCCTGCGTACCTGCACTGGTCTTGAACTCAGGGCCTGGGCACTATCCCTGGGCTTTTTTTGCTCAAGGCTAGTGCTCTACCACTTTGAACCACAGCTCTACTTCTAGTTTTTTTGGTGGTTAATAAGAGTCATATCAACTTTTCTGCCTGGGCTGGCTTTGAACCTTTATCTTCAGATCCCAGCCTCTTGAGTAGCTAGGATTAGAGATGTAAGCCACCAGCACCCAGCTTGGGAAGGGCTGTTAAAGGGTTCTAGGATGGAAAATACAGTGGCAATTTTGACATTTGGATAACAGGCGTTCCCCTGAGGGCCTGTAGAAGGCAAGGCTCGTGCAACCACAACAGAAGCGCATCTGTTAGGACCAGGATTCAATCAAGTTCTGGTCTCTGGCTGGAACTTTAATCTTTTTTTTTTTTTTAATCAGGTTGTGGGGCCTGAACTCTGGGTGGAACTTTAATCTTGAGTGTTAGCTTTGCTCTGGGATTACTTCACTGAATGTATTTATAACACCAACCTTGGTGCTCAGTGACACACTGGCTTATGAGCTTCCACTACATATCCCTCTATGAAGTTACTGGCCCCTGACCATGATCTCATTGTGGTCATGGATCCTGATTCCCAAAGGAAGCCCTTCCTTTACATCCTGCCAGACTATCATTGCACTCCTGTGTTTCTCTGTACCCCAGAAATGACCCCATTGAAGACTGGAATTCAACATTTCGGCAAGTAGCAGAGCGCATGAAGAAAATGCAAGAGAAGCAGGAAGCTTTTGTGCTCAATCCTGCAGTTGGGGTAGGGACTGTCTCCTTTTTTCCACGCACTCCTCCAAGCATCTGGGAAGGCATGTGGGAGGGAAGTACTTGCCACCTGCTTAGGGCCTCTGATCTTAGGTTCTGTTCATTTCGTTGGAGTTCCTATGGCATTGTATGTGGCAACTAACATGCTTTAAATGAAATCCTTTTTTCTCTATCATTCCCACCCTGTCTGTCAAATCAGTCATCATTAAGCACTTCTGGGCCCTGGGGAAGTCTCTGTTTAGTGAGCTATTTTCCATCTGTGTACTGACAGATTTGACTGGCCATTGTTATATCTCATTGAGTCTTTTAAAAAATGCATTTAAATTTCAAATATGGGACTAAAATATGGAAGGAGATTTCATTCTTCTGCCTTTCTCCATCTAAGAAGGTCAGCCTTCTTAGCCGCTGGGGGCCACTGCTCCTTTCTTCACCTCTGGGTTATAGTTATGTCTCACTATGCACATCTATTTTTACTTTCTCCTTAGCCAAAAAGCACTTCCCCTGCCTCCCTCTGCCAGTGGTGAGCACATCTGTTATCTCCTCCTTGATCTTCCTTTTTTGATATAGGCAGGGGAAATTCCATATTATGAAAGAGTTCTGTTGATTCCTCACCCACATTCTCATATCTCTATCCTTTTTGCTTTTTTTTTTTTTTTGGTCCAGTTGTGGGGCCTGAACTCTGGGCCTGGGCGCTGTCCCTCAGCTCTTCAGCTCAAGGCTAACACTCTACCACTTGAGCCACAGAGCCACTTCTGGCTTTTTTGTTTTTGCTTATGTGGTGCTGAGGAATCAAACCCAGGGCCTCATGCATGCAAGGCAAGCGCTCTACCACTGAGCCACCTTCCCAGCCCTCTATCCTTTCTGTAAGTTGTTTGCTTTCAATCTTCTTTTCTTGGTCACTGTTTAAAAAATCATTTTCTTTGCTGTCATCTTGGAAAGATTGTGCTACAAATCTGTACCATTGCAATAGCTGCTCCAGGGGTCTGGCCAAAGCCTGTGAAACAAAACATGGGGGTGGACGGAGGCAGGGAGAAAGTTCTCAGAAAGAACACTCTCTTAAAAACAAACAAACAAACAAACAAAAAACCTTGACCCAAATGGCAAGAGACTCAGTCACTGTGATTACTCTCAGAGTCCTGAATGTAGCACAGAGCTGACCAGGGGTGGACTTCGTTATGCCCACTCCAGTATTCCTCCTCATGGTACGTTGGGGCCCACCATTATCATCAGAAAATACCTAGGGCTCACAAATCAAGGTATTGCCTAGGGCTCACTAACTAGAACAAACATAGCGAGTTCACTAATCAAGTGAGTACCCAGAGGTCAGCAACCCCATTCTATTCCCAAGGGTCACCAACCACCTTCTATGCCCAGAGGTCACCAACCATATTCTATGTCCAGGGGTCACTAACTGGTGAATTTCTGGTTGTTTCTCCTTCTCTCAATTCCTCATTGATTCCTCACTGCCTCCTCAGCCTGAGGGTCTGAGTGGCAGTTCCCGGATGAAAGGTGGAAGTGCCACGAAGATCCTGCTGGAAACCCTATTATTAGCAGCTCACAAGACTGTGGACCAGGGTATTGCAACCTCTCAAAGGTAGGGAGGAAATGGACCAGAGGGAGACATGTCTGGCAGGGGCTGGGGTAGAGTGGTTGGGGGAATATTCAAGCTGGGATGGCCTCAGGCTAGCTTGGCTTGGACATGGTCTAGGTCATACAGGTTTGAAGCCCATCCTCTTATGACCTCTGTCCATATCCAGGGCCTCTAGCCTAGCTTCCACACTGTTCATGTATCTTCTCCTCTACACTCAGATCCCATTCTCCCTCAAGGCTCTCTTTCTGCTCTTCAGTTTTCTTCTTGCTGAAGCCTTTCTGCTCCTGCTTTCTGCCTTTCTGGCCCTACTTTCCATCCATGTGTCCACCAGAGAGCAGCAGAACTTAGTTTCAAGGGAATTGTACCTTCTCTTACCGTCTAAGAGTGAGAGGCATCTACTCTAAGGGGGCCCTGGGCCTCCCCAGGAGCTGGGGTATGTGTGTGTATGCACAAGCATACATGCACACTGGGTATAAAACCCAGGGCCTAGCTTATATTAGGCAAGCACTCAACCATTGAGCTACTTCCCAATATCCCCAGGTTTTTTGTTTTTTTTTTTGGGGGGGGGGTCCGGTCGTGGGGCCTGAACTCTGGGCCTGGGCGCTGTCCCTCAACTCTTCAGCTCAAGGCTAGCGCTCTACCACTTGAGCCACAGCGCCACTTCCGGCTTTTTTCTTTTTGCTTATGTGGTGCTGAGGAATCGAACCCAGGGCCTCATGCATGCAAGGCAAGTGCTCTACCACTGAGCCACCTTCCCAGCCGGTCCCCAGTTTTTTGAGACAAAGTCACTCCATAAGTACCTTAGGACTGGCCTTGAACTCACGATCACCCTGCCTCTGCCTCCCAACTTTGGGGATTACAGGTATGGGCAGCTATACTCGGCTAGCTGGTGACTTTTCTTCCAGATACCTCCTTGAAATCCTTCGGACATTTGAGCGAGCTCATCAGGTGACCTACAGTCAAAGCTCCAAGATAGCCACCCTGATGAAGCAAGTCAGCACCAGGTATGTGGATATGCATGGGAGACACTCTGACAGCAGGGGAGACTGAGAGATGTAGTAAGATGGCAATGGCAATAGGTCTATCTGTTGAAGGGCCACAGGAAGCTTCTGATTTATTTACCCATGTGCTCTTCTATGTGCTTCTCTGGACTAGTGTCATGGTAATCACTGGTCTCCTGACCTCTGATCTATTCTCAGCCTGGAGAAGAAAGGCCGAGTGTATTTGGTTGGCTGGCAGACCCTTGGCATCATTGCCATCATGGATGGAGTAGAGTGCATCCACACCTTTGGTGCTGGTGAGACCCCAGACCAGGCATTCTTCCTGATTTTAACTGACCTCAACCAATGGATTCACCCTCCAAACATTTCCACCTATGGACGCTCCTCCATGTTTATGTTGCCCCAACTAACTCAGCATTTCAGAGCTTAGAACTTGAACTAGATGTTTCTTCCTTTACATCCCAACTCAGTCCTTGATCTCTTCCATCCCATTCCCATGCTTAGCTATGCCTTCCCACGTCGATTAGTGCTTTCCCCCCACAACCATTTTCTACTTCCCTGACAGCCCCCAATGCCTAGAACTTTCTATGCCTATAAAGCTCATTTACTCCCCTCTCCCTTTTCTTTAACTCCAGATTTCCGAGACATCCGTGGCTTTCTCATTGGTGATCACAGTGACATGTTTAACCAGAAGGCTGAGCTCACAAATCAGGTTGGAGGACAGGACTTGGGAAACTTGTGAAGATCACTGGTGTACAGGGGTGGGAGAGGAGGTGAAGGTAGAGATGGATGGAAAAGTATGATGGGATAAATAATTTAGATAGGGCGGGGATTAAAGGTCACAAGGCTTTGGGATAGTAGATTGTAGATGACACTGGATTTATACCCCCCCCCCCACCCAAGGGGGGGAAAAAAAAACTTGGCTTCAGTTCACTGACTTGCCACATCATTATGGGCAGAATATTACTTTTTGAACTTTGATTTTTTTTGTGCCAGTCCTGGGGCTTGAACTCAGGATCTTGGCACTGTCTCTGAGCTTTTCTGCTTGAGGCTGTCACTCTACCACTTGAGCCACAGCTCCACTTCCAGCTTTTTGGTGATTAATTGGAGATAGAGACTCATAGACTTTCCTGCTCAGGCTGGCTTGAACTTTGACCTCAGCCTTCTGAGTAGCTAGGGTTATAGGTCTGAGCCACTGATGCTGGCTTGAACTCTGAATTTAAAAATCTGGAGTCAAATGATGTCTCCTAAGGTCTTGTTTAGTATATATGTCTACTATAGAGTGCTCTCCTGAGAGAGACTTTCCCATTTTCTTCTGTACTAGGGTCCCCAGTTCTCCTTCTCCCAGGAGGATTTCCTGACCTCCATCCTGCCCTCCCTCAAGGAAATTGACACTGTGATCTTCATTTTTACCCTGGATGGTGAGAGGAAGGATGGGAGCGATGGGAAGGCAGTGGAGTAACTCAGAGGAGCTGTTATTTTCCTGAGTCTTAGGATACGTACCCAGGGGGAAGGGCAGGGGTGAGTGTCCTGACTGGATGCCAAGAAACAGGAAAGACAGCTGCATTGTGGCCTGTCAACTCTGACATCCTCCACTCCCTCCCAGACAACCTCCCAGAGGTGCAGACATTGGTGGAGCAGGTGAAAGAGAAGACTGCCAACATCCAGGCCCTGGTGCACAGCACTGTGGGGCAATCTCTGCCGGTGAGGGTGCAGCCTTGAGGCGGGGACTCTGGGTGGCCCTTAGACCCAGGCCTTCCTGGACACGCCACTCATGTGCTTTCCTTTTTCCTCAGCTCCCTCTGAAGAAGCTCTTTCCTTCCATCATCCACATCATGTGGCCACTGCTTTTCTTCGAATATGAAGGGACCTTCGTTCAGGTATGGGGAAGGAGAAGGTAAAATCTGTAGTGAGAGGCCAAGACAGAGGGATTTCTGAAATTAAAAAAAACCCAGGCTGGAAGAGAGAACACTTGACTATTTGCTCCCTGCCCTACTACACCAGCCAGGCAAGTTCTTGAGTTAGCAGGTCATTAGCTAAGTTTCTAAGGCAACAGGATACTGGGTTCAGCTCTCTCTGGGGATATGCAAAAAGGGAAAGGTGGTCTATCAGTCTTCTAACAGATGCTCTTGTGCCCCTTGGGACAGGTTAAAGTGGTCAATGCTATTGTCATCAGCACTATCCAAAAGCTTCAAATGCTTTTTTGGACATTCAATGCTACGCTGAATTTAGTGCAGATGTTCCAGTGATTTAGTCCCTGCTCAATAATGAAATTGCCATTCAGGGCAAGCACTACTCATAATCATAGAAATAATGACCAGCTCATGTGCTTATTGCAGCTTAGTTAGAAATGAGCATCAGGAAATCTGGTGCAAGTCCACTTCTTTTTTTTTTTCTTTTTTTAAATTTTATTTTATTGTAAAGATTCTGTACAGAGGGGTTACGGGTTAGGTGAATAAGGTAATGAGTACATTTCTTGTCCAGCATTGTTACCCACTCCTTTGTTTTTCTCCTACTATCCCTTCCCTCCCCCTGCTAGTCTACTTCTGCTATGTGGTCCAAGAGGCAAAGCAACTGGGCCTTGGTTTTCTCACCCATCAACTGCTTGCCCTTCTGGACAGACCCAGGACTGTGTAGTTTCCCTAAAGAGATATAGTTCCTCATCCATTGTTCCAACTGGGAATTTTAGGATGGTGACCAGGCACAGTTGGCACACTACCTTAACGACCTTCTCTCCCTGATGAGTTTCTCCTTCCTTCCTTCTTTCCTTTCTTCCTTCCTTTCCTTCCTCTCTCTTTCTCCTTCCTTCCTTTCCTTCCTTCTCCTCCCTCCCTCTCTCCCTCCCTCCCTCTCTCCCTCCCTCCCTCTCTTCTTTCTTTCTTTCTTTCTTTCCTTTCTTCCTTTTCTTTCTTTCTTCCCTTCCTTTCTTTCTTTCTTTCTCTTTCTTTCTTTCTTTCTTTCTTTCTTTCTTTCTTTCTTTCTTTCTTTCTTTCTTTCTTTCTTTCTTTCTTTCTTTCTTTCTTTCTTTCTTTCTTTCTTTCTTTCTTTCTTCTTTCCTGGGGCTTGAACCCAGGATCAGGGCACTGTTCCTGAGTTTCTTTTTGCTCAAGGCTAGCACTCTACCACTTGAGCCACAGTGCCACTTCTACCTTGTTCTGTTTATGTGGTACTGAGGAATTGAGCCCAGGGCTTCATGCATACTAGGCAAGCACTCTACCACTAAGCCACATTCCTAGCCCTCCATTCTCTTTCTAGTATCTTTTTTAAAAAAATTCTGGTACTGGGGCTTGAAGCCAGGGCCTTGAACTCTTGCTTGGGTTTTTTTGCTCAAGGCTGGCACTCTATCATTTGAGCCACAGCTCCATTTCCAGCTTTTGGGTAATTAATTGGAGATGAGTCCTGTGGACTTTCCTGACTAGGCTGGCTTTGAACTGTGATTCTCAGATCTCAGCCTCCTGAGTAGCTAGGATTACAGGTATGAGCCACTGGAATTCACCTGTCTCTGGTGTCAATGTTCCTGGATCCTTTCCCCCCTTTTCATGACATTGATATTTTAGAAGTCTAGGCCAATTGATTTTCTAGAATGTGCTTCACTCTGGATTTGCCTATTTTTTCCATTATTTTCAGGTTAAACTTCTTGGCAAGAGTACAGCATAGGGGAGGCTGAGCCCTGAACAGCTCAGTGGCATCAAGAGGAAATGATATTAGTTCCTTTGTTCATGAGGCTACTGTTGGTCATAGGGTGAAGGTATTGGATTTCCTCACATCCTACTGCTTAGCAATCTTTCACCTGTTTACAAAGCAGCCATTAAGGATTCTGGGTAGAATCAGTGACTGCTATGGTGGTTTTATGTTGATGATTTTCTATTTCTATCCCTCCAGCTGCATTCCCTAATTGACATTTTTTGGTAAGGAAAACTTTCCACTCTCTCCCCATCTGCCTGTTTGTTTAATGTCATTATGGGCTTATGAGTTTGTTGTTGTTCAATGTGTTTTTATACATTCTTGTCATTCTTTGTTGTTCATTCTTTGTTTTGATGCTCAGAAGGAAAGCTCATTCAATTTGACCCCCTCTGACATATTTGCATTTGTATTTGAACACTGTTTGTTGTGTTTCTTTTTAGGAAACAAAAGCAAAAGGGGGGAAAACAACAACAAAAGCCTTCCTCCTCAGGCAAAGACTAATAGAACATCTTGTGTGTTTTGCTTAATAAGAATTTCTGAAAATTACTCCCTTGCAAATCACAGATCTTTCTCATTGCTACACACACACACACACACACACACACACACACACACATACACACACACGTATGTCCAATAGTTTACCCGGTCAATCTCCTAAGGCATTTGTTTGCTCTTGCCAGAAATTATGCAATGAATGTGCCTATGTTTGTAATGTTAAAAGTATTTCTTTGGGATAAATTCTTAGAAGCATTTGAGTTGGATCATAGGGTGAACACATGTGTAACTTTGTTAGATATTGCAAAACTGTCCTTCATAGGGATTGTACCATTTTGCTTCTTTTTTTTTTCCAGTCCTATGGCTTGAACTCAGGGACTGGGGACTGTCCCTGAGCTTCTTATGCTCAAGGCTAGCACTCTACCACTTGAGCCACAGCCCCACTTCTGGTCTTTTCTGTTTATGTGGTACTGAGGAATCAAACCCAGGGCTTCATGCATGCTAGGCAAGCACTCTACTACTAAGCCACATTCCAGCCCCCATTTTGCTTCTAATATCAGCATATATGAGAACACTGGTCCATACAGCTTTTCTGAGAGTACTGCTCAGAGCTGTCAACTTGATAGATGAGAAATGCTGCTGCTTTCCTCACTTTTTCTCCTTCTCTCCCTCTGTTCTTCCTCCATCCCTCCCTCTCTTTTTTCTTAGCTTTCTCTCTTCCTTCCTGTCTTCCCTTCCTTCTTCCTTCTCTCCCTCTCTCTGTCTTCTTCTTCCTTCTTTATTTTGTGGAGGCAGGGGGAAGACAGGATCTTGCTATATATTACAAGCTGGCCTCAAAGCTCATATAACTCATTTACTTTCATCTTCCAGGTGCTTGGATTACAGGCCTGCCACCATGCTCCATGCTTCTGTGTACTTTTCATTTGCATTTATTGAATTTATTATTTAAAATAATTTCAGTGCTTGGGATGGAATCCAGGACCTGCCATGTGTTAAGCAAGTGCTCTCCAGATAAGCTGTAGCCCTAGCTTGTATTTGTTACCCAGGAGCTGGCATCTTGCACCTTATTCAGGGGCTTTAGTCAGCTTCTTATTTGTCTTCTTTTTGATTATTTGTTTTTCTAATAAGATTTTAGTTTAGTTTGGTTTTTATCTCTTGTCTTTGAGTTCTTTATAAAGATATTATCCTTCTATTTTTGTTATATTTATTTTCTTTGGGTTTTAACCATAAGAAAAGTCTAATTTTTCTGAAGCTGAGTTTATCAAGTTTTCCATTACTGAATTTGGATTCTGAGGCTCAGAGAACTTTACTACCTGTCCCCCAAACCCCAGGCTGTAATAGCAGACTATGACCTGTGTTGTTCTAGTTAAAAAAAAATTAGGTATTTAATTCATTAGGAGTTTATCTTTGTGTAATGGGGTAAGACATGGATCCTGTTATATGTTTTTACAAGTGATTATCCAATCATCCTAATATATTTTTAAGCCTATCATTTTCAGTTATTTATTATTTTTTAGATTTTGTCTGAGGCTGGAACTTGAACTGGTATCTGAAGCTTGCATTTGCACATTAGCTGGTGATCTACCATCTGAGCCACACCTTCAACCCCCAAATGATTTGGGATGCTAGATGTGTTATCCACTAAATATTTATTCACATCAGTGCATTTATGTGTGTGTGTGAGAGAGAGAGAGAGGGAGAGAGAGAGGGAGTGAGGGAGGGAGGGAGGGAGGGAGAGAGGGAGAGAGATGGTTCTGGGGATTGAACACAGGGCCTTGTGTACTTTAGGTCATTTCTAGAGTTTCTATTCTGTACCACTAACCTAGCTAAGATATTGATATTCTGGCACTATATGTTTAGTTATAGAGGCTTTATGATAGTTGTAGAATCCTTTTCATTGTACTTTAAGAGTTTTCCTGATGGGCGCTGGTGGCTCATGCCTATAATCCTATCTACTCAGGAGGCTGAGATCTGAGGATCACAGTTTGAAGCCAGCCCAAGTGAGAAAATCTGTCAGACTCTTATCTCCAATTAACCACAGAAAACTAGCACCAGAAGTGGTACTGTAGCTCAAGTTCTGCAAGTTGTAGAGTACTAGCCTTAAGCAAAAGAGCCCAGGGACAGCACTCAGGTCGAGTTCAAGCCCCAGGACCAACAACAACAACAACAAAAAGAATTTTTCAGAGCCAGGTACTGGTGGCTCATACTTGTAATCCTACCTACTCAGGAGGCTGAGATCTGAGAATTGCAGTTTGAAGCCAGCCCAGGCATGAACGTTTGAGACTCTTGTCTCCAATTAACCACTAGAAAACTGGAAGTGGTGCTGTGGCTCAGAGTGGTAGAGCACTAGCCTTGAGTGAGAAAGCTCTGAGACAGCACTCAGGCCCTGAATTCAAGCCCCATGACTGACCTAAAAAAAAAAGAAAGAATTTTCCTGGTTAAAATTGGAGTTTTATTTTTCATATGAACTTCAAAATGAATTGTGTAAACTAAAATACTTTTGTGTTGATGATAGTGTATAAATAGCTAGTGATACAACCTAAATCTAATGGCTCTCGATCCTGCAGTGCTATGTGACCCTCAGCTCAGAGCATCCACACTGCACAACAGCCAGATTCATGCTGATTGGTCAGATTTCTGTTCTCCCG